AATATCAAATTGTAGCAAATACAGTACTATTTAGTACTATTTTTACAATTATAGTACACACTTCCGAAATCAACTCTTTATCATAAACCTACCACCCACAAGCATCACAAAACCAAAACTGCGAACTTTCAGCTGCATCCGTTCACGCTAAACTAAACTGTTCAAAATTTAGTACAGTTCGCACACTTAGTACATACTTCCAAAACCAACTTCATATATCAAACTTGCTTTCCAACCTTGATTTTCATACAAAATTTCAAATTTTTAACTTCATCCGTTCACATAATACCGAATGGTACCATTTAGTTTAGTTAGCATCTACCATGCACTCCATCAGTGACTCTCATTTCAAATTTCAGAATTCCACCTCCATCGGTTCACTACAATTGCAATTTGTACCAAATTTAGTACCATTTAGTACACATGAGTACGAATTTCAAAAGTTTCCTACATACCCCAATCCTACACTCCCACAGTAATCCCAATTCCAAATTTTAGGATTCTGAACTTTATTTCGTACATTTTAGTACATATAAGTTCAAATTTGCAAAACTGCACACATATGCCAATTCTACACTCCGACAGTAATCTTATTTCCAATTTTCGGGATATCAGCCCTATTGGTTCACTCAAATCCGAATTCTACCAAATTTAATACCATATGGTGCCCTAAGAACATATTTTCATATCTACCTAAATCTTACAGTCCAATAGAAATCATATTTTCAAATTTCAAGATTTGAACTCTACCGGTTCTTCCAAAATTTAAATTGTACAAAATTTAGTATCATTTAATACACATAAGCACGAATTTCCAAAATTATCTATACTTTTCGTGCACAAAAGTACAAATTACGAAAACTTCCTGCATATTCCAATCCTACACTCCACCAGTACTTTTTAATATTTTTCGTACCGTTCTAGTACAAAGTTCCAAAAACCCATCCTTGACTTTGGAGTTGTCTTCAACGTTTCGGTATTGTCCACTTAAAACGGCACATATTGGTGTGGTCTTTTAGATGTTTTTTATTCAATATTTCAATTGCCATGGCAACGTTTTATAATTTGGGTTTTTAGTGGCTGAACATACTTTCAGTCCAAATTCGGTTAATTTCATGGAATTTGCTACTATATTGTTTGTAATTCGATGTTTTTAAGTTCCTAACGATTTTTCCAGCCCATTGCCTGTAATTTCATTCGGCGATGAAAATATAGTTTTCACATTTCAATATGGCGGAATTGACTGCCTTAATGTTCTTAAATTGTTTTATTTAAATTTGATTATAAATTCATTTCTTACAGAAGTTCAGCTGGATGTGTTCATTTGGTGCCTAGTGCTTTATGGTGCCTAGGTGAAAAAAATATAATAACAGTTAAATATTCCTGTCCTTTAAAATATCTCTGAATATCTAAACAGAAAAATATTTAATCTTTTTACCGCTCCCTAAATTTTTCTAACACACATCCACATGCACGTCCATGCCATAAATTGGCTGATGTAATATAACCAAAAAATGTTTTCAGAAACTTGTTTCATTAATTGAAATCTTATCCAATTGGACAGCCAATTCAATGGTCAAAATAAACATTAAAACGTTGCCACAAATCTGTGGCGATTTTCCATGGTGGCCAGTGCAACAAAGGTTTGTCCATATGTATGGGGACAACAAAGTAATAGATACTACTGGACACTGCTAATAAATATAACGCTTAACCTCAATTCTAGAACAACAAAGAATTAAGGAATGCCACATTTTGCTGCCAATAAAATTGATATTGCTTAAAAAAATGAGAAAAAAACTAACTTGGCGAGGTGAAGTATGTGTGGCAACTTATGTGTGGCAAAAGAGGAAAATGTTTGTGTGTTTGTTTGTAATTTATGGACTCGAAAACCGCTGAACAGATTTTCCTGAAAAATTCCAAGGGTACTACAACATCGCCTAAAAGTAATATAGGCTATATACATTTTTATTCCCTCCACCATAGTATAGTTTGTCATTTCGTTTGTAACACCTCGAAATAGACATTTTATACCCCGCAAAGTATATATATTCTTGATCAGCATAAAATTCTATGTCAACTTTGCAGTGTCCGTCCGTCTGTCCGTCTATCCGTCAGTGGAAATCACTCTAGCTTCCGAACGAAATGAAGTAAGTTGATAAAAATTTACTCAAATGTGTATTATGTCTGGGTAGGTCCACGTCTTCGTATAGCCCCCATGTACCGTTCTATTCGGTATTTTGATGATTTTAGCGACATTATTTACCGGAAACGTTTGAAATTTCGCATTTGAAGTGAGTCCCTAATATACGGCCACTTTCGGTATTTTTAAGATTTTAACAGAATTTTTAACGGATTTTATTTATTTATTTTTTTTTTTTGAAAATTGCAAATTTGTACCAAATGGTGGAGGATATTCAAAGTTCGGCTTGTTTCAATTCCACATGGAACTGAAGACATAGCATTAAATTTTATATGCATATATCTATAGATCGATTACAGATACAGTCTACAAATTTCGAATGCGTATTGTAATTGGGAACAAAAATAAATTTGCTCAATTACATTGAAATCGTTTCAGATTTGGATATATCTCCCTTATATTTTCGGCCGATTTTATGTATTTGATGCACCAACCGCACTATGTATCTTTAATCTCCATGAAATTTGTAACGTGTAACAAATTATATTGAAATTGATTTAGATTTGGATATAGCTCCCATGTATATTTTAGGCCGATTTCACATATTTGATGCAACAAGCTCGATACGTATGTCCTATTCCAATAATATTCAGCACGAGAGACTAAATTTGGCCAAAAAATAAATTTGCCAAATTATTTTGAAATCGGTAAAGATTTGGATATAGTTCTCATATATATTTTCGTCCGTTTTCGTTTATTTGATGCAGCAAACACCATATGTATGTTCAATTCCAATGAAATTTGGAATATGTGACGTGATTTGTTAAATTTGTTAAATTATATTGAAATCGGTTCAGATTTGGACGTAGCTCCCACACATATTTTCGGCCGATTTCACATATTTGATGCACCAAGCTCGATACGTATGTCCTATTCTAATAAAATTCGGCATGAGTGACTAAATTTGGCACATAAATAAATTTGTCAAATTAGATTCAAATTGGTTCAGATTAGGATGCAACTCCCATATATATTTTCGGCCGATTTAACATTTTCATACACGAAACGTATATCGGCCGATTTCATATATATTATGCATCAAACACGATATATATGTCCGATTTCAATGAAATTCGGAATGAAGATAAACTTTGTGAACGAGCAGAGTGAAAGATGTCTGAGTACGTTGCTGACATAGACGAGCTTATGGTATTCTTAAAAGAATCTTCAATCGGATTTCAATTTGCTACATGAGCAAGCTATTCTGGGACAAATACTGTTCGTTTCGTCTTTTCTGTCGCTGAATAAAATACTAATAATAGTAATATTAATAACAAGTAAGCAAAGGCTATAGCCGTGCGGTGACCACCATGTGATACCCTATAACGCTAAAATATGTTAGAAGCCCCCTTACGTCCAAGTCCATTTTGGAAATTTTCGCTTTTGAAATTATATCATAGAGATTTTTGACCAGTTGTTAACTGTTACTTGTTGTAGTCCATTTTTCAGTTAAATATAATCCAATGATCATCCAAGTGCTGGACTTCTTCCCTGTCCTTAAATCTCTTCTCATGCAAAATTCCGTGTCGATTGGTTTCAATTGTGTGATCAGGAAATTGTTTCTGTTTTGGTTCACTTGAACCTCTGATTATTTTGCGAACATCTCCAAAAGCAAGAGGCCCCTCTGTATTTCCAAATTTAGACTCATCTATATGATTTGCTTGTCTACGATATTTGGTTATATTCGTCAATGAAGAATCGTGAGAATCGGATAATAATTGCCATCTGTATATAATCCCAACCTGTGTTGTAAGGTGAAAAAATATTACGAAATATATACTTCAGTGTTATAAGTCAAATTGAAAAAATCGCATGCGATAAAAACTATGAAAAAAATAAAAAATGTCAGAAAAATACTACATTACCATCATTATTGAGATCTTTTTATGCGATTTTTTTTAGATTTAATACTCTTATGCCAAGAGGGCACTTTGAATTCACAAAATTTGTCTAAATTGGTCCAGTCATTCTTGACATATAAGCATTCTAGCTAACATCCCCTTCCTTTGTATATATACATTGTATATATTTCGCTATATGTATCCGATATATTTACTATCGGCATCTATGTAACGGTAAGAATTAACCAGTTCGCCTACTTGTGATTTCGTCGGGATTAATAATATAACATATGGTCTATTTCACCACTAAATATTACCCGATGACCTTAAAAATTGGAAGGCTTTTGCCCAGCCCTAAGCTCTAGCCCCGTGCTCACTTCTCCTTCTACTGGTCCATAATTGCGACCTGTAGAGCAACTGCAAAATCAAGAAATTGTTTTCTTTTTGGTCCATTTCAACCCCTAAATATTATGCGATCTTCTCCAAAAGCAATAGGGTTCTATTCTGACCATAACCCCAATTTCAATTTCCAATAGCATGAGGATCGGACCATAATTGCGACCTGTAGAGTGATTACAAATTCACAAATTCACATTGGCAGACGGATGGACAGACATACATAGCTAGATGGACTCAGCTCGGCGAGATAGGAAGATCCATATATACTTTCCCATGTGGGAAACGAATATTTATATCATTTGGCCAAATTAAACCTATATACCCCCAACACATAGTGTTGTAGGGTATAAAAATCAATCATAAGGAAAGTAGTTTCCACATTTGGAGATTTCCCTCCTACAAATTTTAATAACGAAAAGGTTGACATTACAAGAGATGAAAAGTGCTTTGAATATTTCACATTTTTACTCTATTATTTATTTCCTTTGAGCTAAATTTTGAAAACTATATTAATTGAATATAAAATTGTGTAACAAAGATCTTTACAGTTTCTTGGCTATTTTATTAATTATATTTTTTTTCTAATTTTCAACACTGTAACGGATCTCGTTGAACATTCAATACAATACCTCCTTCAGATTGTAGAATCAATGCCTTGGGATCCAATTTTATTCGATGTGGATTTTTTGGGCTCAATGTAACACGATGATTGCGCAGGAACTGCAGTAGTCCCACCTTGGTTTGAAGATATGCAAAACGTTCTCCAATACATGCATGCGGCCCCAGTCCAAAGGGCATATAGCTATATGGTGTTATATTTTTACGATTTTCGGAGGAAAATCTTTCCGGGTTAAAAGTGTGCGGATCGGGAAAGTACTGTGGAAGAAAATTGGTTTTGAATCGGTTAAATATTATATAATTTTATAAACTTTATATATTAAAATAAATTAAACCAGTAAGGAAGAGTCGAAAGTCGGGCGGCGCCGACTATATGATACTCTACACCGCTATGCATATTTAGTAGAGCTCCGGTAACCAAAGAATTAACTTCAAGTAGATCATACCACCTATCAACATTTGGCTTTAGAGCAGTAATATTTTACTATATATATATATATATTAAAAAATATATCTCGGAGCCGAGTTGCACAATATGGAAACGCACGTCCAGAAATGCACTCTATTTGGGCTGATATTAGCCATTATTTGCACAATAAACCCGAAATCGGATTAAGGATATATATGGAAGATATACATACATATTACGAATGTGAGGGACTTAAACACCAAATCTGAACCGATTTTCTCCGAATTCGATGTACTTGCTTCGAGACTGAATTCGGTCGGATGTACAAAATTCAGGACTTTTGGACAGATATTGGCCATTTGGTGCACAATTAACCCGAAATCGGTTGAATATATGGAACCTATATCCAAATCTGAACCGATCTTGATAAAATTTGGCAGATGTATTTCTGGGCAGTATCTGATAACTGGAACCAAATATCATTGATGTCAATTACATATGACGAATTTGAGGAACTTAAGCACCATGGGAGCTATAGCTGTATCTGAACCTATTTTTCCGAATTTGATTTACTTGCTTTTAGACTGAATTCGGTGGGATGTACCAAAATGCAGGTCATTTGGTCTTATATTAGCCATTTGGTGCACAATTAACCTTAAGACGGTTGAAGATATATAGAGGTCGGATAATAAATGCGACCTGCATTTTGTTCACAAAAATACATGGACGGCCGGACTGACAATCATAAATCGACTTAGAAAGTGATTCTATGAAGATCCTCAAAGGTAACTCTGGGTCTATCTCACTTCATTCTCCATGTTACAAACAAATGCACAAAGACATAGTACCCTTACCACTATGTGGTGTAGGGTATAAAAATCGAACTTGCTCTCACCTTTGGATCCATGTGCAAAGCATATGCCGGTATATAGATGGGCATGCCCTTTGGTATGCTAAAACTGCTAAATGGTTCCAACAAATAACTTTCATCCTTCTCCACGGTACATTCTCGATCCAAAAATGGCAATGGCGGATACAACCTCAGAGTTTCACTTATAACCATTTGCATATACTCCAACGATTCAATATCGCGCAATGTCAGTTTTCCGCCACTGTTCATCAATACCGTTCGTACTTCTTCTCTAACTCGCTCTTGAATTTCAGGATTTCTTGCCAGTTCATATAGAGCAAAAGACATTGTAGCCGAGGATGATTCGAAGCCCGCCGTAAAGAAAATAGCTGCCTGAGCCACCAGAAGATCACCATCGAATTTTACATTTCCATTTTTAGACGAAACACATTTGGAACTATTTTTAAATTCAATCAAAATATCGATTAGATCGTGACGTATTTTTCCCGATTTTTCTCTTTCGGCAACGACATAATTGAATGTGGAGCGCAAGAATTCAGTTTGTTCAACTGGCACAACTTTGGCCCCGAAATAGGGAACCAAATGTGGTAGGAAGAAGACAACACTAAAGTTGATGGCTCGTCGTTTATTAAAACGAAAGATTTCTCGGCCATTTCTCCTAAACTGGCCATTGGGATTTTCGAAAGAATTTGCCTGAACACCAAAGGCCACCGTGGCTATAACATCGGTGGTATACAGGGCACAGAATTCTTTCAATTCCAATTCAAACTCCAGACTGTCGGGCGAGGGAGATGACTTCAGTAAATATTTGTTAAGATTTTCACCAACCTGCAAAAAAGTATCACTTAATAAGATATCACCCAAAACCTTTTCCCACCTCCATTTCCACTTACCTCAGCTATCAAGGGAAACATTTGTTTCAATTTCCCACTGGTGAAAAACGGCGTCAACTTAAAGCGAATGTCCTTCCATGCCGGATTTTTTAGCATAAACAAATTTTGTGAACCCAACGGATCGCCTTCAATGTCCGAACACGAGAAACGATTGCTAAATTTGGGAAAATCTCTAACCAAAATACGTTTAATAAGCTCCGGTTCCCGCAGTAATATGGCCGGTCGATAGAAAACGTAAATTCCCACGAAAGGTTTTCCCTTTGCATTTGGGTGGTGATAAAATTCTTCAATCACTTTGGCAGATGGTTCCGACATGCTAAGGATTTTGCCCAAATTTCCCACCAACGGCAAGGGCTCGATTTGAGGAAGATTGTGGCGTTTCCAATAATTGTGTAAATAATTGAGATAAACCCATAGCGATGCTGCCGTTAAACAAAGTAGAAGAACCCCAACCGGGAATGTTGTTTCCGACCACATTGTTTCGCCGAGTAATGTAGACTGTGCACTTTTTTGGAAATATATAACAATTTCAGTTTCCCATAAAAATTGTTGAAATATTTGCATTTGTATATTGAATGGAAAGGTCAACAGAGATTATGTTGTAGTATTTTTAGAATATTTGACATATATTGTCAATTCTTATGCTAATAGCTAATGAATGTCAATTGAGAGATTTCAGGTTACTTCACAAAAAAAAACATGAATCCCAATTAACCGACAGATTATTAATAGCCCGCATTCACTGTTTATTAATAGGCGACCATGGGTCATCACAAAACAGATTTTGTCCTTAAACAGTACACAGTCTTTATGACGAATACGGTTAAACCTCTCATGAAATACTACCCCAAGTGTGTCATCTTATCCGAGACATGAACCTGCGTCGAGCCTATCTTCAGAACCGGCAAAAACCTCTTACAATTAGGGTACACTACGTCTGGCCAACCAAGAGAAGCTGTAGCACAATATTTCTCTACATTCAACTTTGGACCCCATCTAATGAAATACCGATTGAGGCCATCGAGATACTCAACAGCGCGCCTATTGTCCGACCTAGCCAGAGATGACCGAACTGAGTCTATAAATAAGTATGTCAAATTTGATGAAAATCGGTTCAGATATAGCTGTAGCTCCCATATATCTTGTCCATCCGATTTGTTATATTTGCCCACCACAGCTGTGATATTCACTACGTAACAGCGGTTTATGGGGAAATAAAACTATAACTGCTCAAAAATAAATTTTATCGATATGGGTTCAGATTTGGAGAAATAAAAAAAACTGCAACCAACTTGAGACTGCTGTCATTTTTAAGCCCTTCGTCCGACAGCTGTTAAAATTATTCCAATGACAGCTCATTATATTGTTTACAAGCGTACAAAAGAGTTTTGGTGTGCATTTACCAGAAAAAAAGTTACTCGTGATGGAGTTCAAGCGTGATAGTGTGATTTCTTTATATTTGGCTGGAAAATCACAAGTGTCGTTAGATACTCCAGACACAATAGTCCAACGGATTGGTATCCGGAAATTTGGTGGCCATTGTGCGTTGGAAATTAAGCGAGGAAGCTTATTTTGTAACCATTCTTGGGTGGCGCGTGCTGAGTGCGATGGTGCTGAGTCCTGTTGGAATGTACAAAGTCTGCGGCCAAAATGTTTGCGTGCCCAAGGCTTTAATACACCCTCCAGAATATTTTCGCGATAATATTCGGCATTTATTATGATGCCACGGTGGATTAATACGAGCCGAGAGCGACAATCAGCTGTTATGGCTGCCCACACCATCACCATGGCCGGTTCTTGAGTTCTGGTGGCCAACCGAAAGTGCACATTTTAGCTGACATCTTTGGCAAATAAACACGATTATTTTGTTTGTTTACGACGAATGTTTTCCCATCGGAGAAAACCAAATTCGGCAGTTCACCACTTCCGGCCAAGCGAAGCAACTCTTTAGCTCTTTTGATTCTATTTTCTTTCTGTTACAGGGTAAGTTCTTGCACTTTCAATTGCCTTTACCCCGTGCTCATTTTTCAATATTTGCTGAATGGAATATTGGGATATGTTCAGATCACTAGCCATTTTTCGGTCACTGCGACGCGGGTTTCGATCGATTCTTTACTTTGGTTTCTTCCTTCTAGTTCCTTAAGGTCGGGTTACGCTACCAGTATCACGGTAACGAGCGATGGTACGAGACATAAAAGAGTTATTCACATTTAAATACTGGAGTGTTCTGATGATAGCCACTTGTGGTTTTCCAGCCAAATATAAAGGAATCACACTATCACGTTTGATTTCCATCACGAATAACTTTTTTGCTGCGAAATTCTCACCAAAATCGTTCGTTTCTGTTATTCAAAACCTTGACCCTCTTTGGGGTAGGTACTAGAAGCAATGATCCGATATCTGCCATCTTTATAACAGATCTTTTGTTGATAGAAGTATTGAAATGTGCCAAGTCTGAATGGATTCAGGTTTTAGTTTCTCGTTTTATGAGTTTCATGGATATTCAAAATTTTTATCCCTTGTGGGGGAGTTACAAGAAGGAGTGGACCGATATATTTCATCTTCATACCAGACCTTGGGTTAATAAAAGTATTGCGATATGTGTAATTTGAAGACAATCGGACTCTGATATCACATTTTATAATAATTATAATTATTCAAAATTTTGATCCCGATATTGTCCATTTTCGCACCATTAACATTCGTGCAGTAAAATATTTTTTGAAAATTTCGACCTTTTGTGGGGGAAGCACCAAAAGTCCATCTCCGAACTCAATCTAAGTTTGATCATATTATTACGATATACCGAGTTTGGACTAAATCGGATACTCCCTTCGAAAGTTATCGTGCGCACCAGTCATCGAGCCAAACTGACAGACAGACGGACGGACATCGCTAGATCGACCCCAAATGCCCTGAAACGGATTTGGTCCAAAGAGACCTGGGGTCTAAAACCGTTATTTCGATGAGGCACGTTTTTACCGTATCAAATGATATATACCTTCTCTAACATATGGCTGAGGGTGTAAAAAGTAAAAAAGCTGTAAGACCGAACTTTGAATATCCTCCACAATTTGGTACAAATTTGGCATTTTTCAAAAAATTTAAATCTATTAAAAATTTTGTTAAAATCATAAAAATACCGAATGTAGCCGTATATTAGAGTCTATACGATGACATGGACCTGCATACGCAACTTTTGTCATAAGCCTGCACAGACAATTTTCTGGCATAGGCTGTAGTATCCATTACGAACTTCAAATACAAAATTTGAAATAATTCCCATAAATATTGTCGCTAAAATCATTAAAATACCGTATATTGGGGGTACCGTTATATGGGGGCTATACGAAGACGTAGACCATTACGAATTTCAAGTGCGAAATTTTAAACAATTCCGGTAAATAATGTCGCTAAAATCATCAAAATACCGAATATCAGAGGGTACCGTTATATGGGGGCTATACGAAGACGTGGATCTGCTCGGAGAATTTTCGATCACAGGCAGTAGTATTCATTTCGAACTTCAAATACTAAATTTGAAATAGTTCCGGTAAATAATGTCGCTAAAATCATTAAAATACCGAATATCGGGGGGTACCGTTATATGGGGCTATACGAAGACGTGGACATGCACAGACAATTTTCTGTCATAGGCTATAGTATTCATTACGAACTTTAAATAGCAAATTTGAAAAATTTCCGGTGAATAATGTAACATCAAAAACTTATTTCATTTCGTTCGGAAGCTAGAGTGATTTCCACAGACGGACGGGCATTGTTAAATCGACATAGAATTTTATGCTGATCAAGAATATATATGTATATTTCAAGGTGTTATAAACGGAATGGTAAACTTAATATGCCCTCCATACTATGGTGGTCTGAAAAGTTTATTTCGAGATTTTACAAACGGAATATATACTTCATACTATGGCGGAGGATATAAATATTTGTATATGGAAGTGGTACCAGAAGAAGGGGACGACCTTTTGGGCGGAGTTACAAGATATTGGTCTAATATGGGATGAATGTTGTGAAAGACTAAGTTTCATCAATATAGGACACTTATTTGAATTTTTACGAGAATTATTATCAATATTTTGACGATTTGTGGGGAGCTACCAGAATGAGTGAGCCGATATTGTCTAATGAAAATATTACAATACACTCTCTATAAATTAATTTTAATAACTTTTTTAATTCTAGCCATTTATGTGGGTACCAGAAAATGAAGGAATACTCCGATGTTACCCAACTTCGACCTTGATCTAAGTTTAAAAAAAACTTTAGGATGTGTCTTTCAAGAGTTATCGTGCACACTATCCAGCCGCACAAATACGTCTGCATGTATAAACACCTTGGATACATCCAATGTCAATTATCTACTCAATAATGTCATTCTCTTTGAAAACATGAATTGAACCCGAAACTTTACTTCCATTGTAATAAATACATTATTTAAGTTCAATTGTTCAACTAAAATGGAGGACAATCTTTGATATATGGTTATGGGTTATGCATTTTTTTCTCGAGTACCATATTTGTACATATGTAAGCCTCCAAATAAACTCACATGAGCTGCAAAACAGCATGGCATGGAGATTACAGGGTTCGTACAGATCACTTCCACTTTTGAGCCAACAAAGCCAGCATGTTGCATACCACAAGTGGTCATTGCGAACAGAAAAAACATGTTTCATATCGCCATCGCTGGCATGGACGCAGTCTAAGTGGAATTCGGTGTAAAATACATGTAACTATGCACCACCATGAAGTATGTTAAGGTAACGCCTTCCTGACTTGACGTAGCCGCTGTCCATGGCGGAATGTTTTAAAAGACAAAAAAGCTATTGAAAGCAATTGCGACACATAAACCTAGGTTTGGCTCCGACGTCAACTGAAATATGGACAATATATTACATTTTACGATTTATGTATTATGGCTAAATAAATCAAAACGGCAATAGAGACAAGATCATTGCCATAACAATTAATCCATATTTGTAGAGGAAATGATATCAGAATTGAGCAAAGCATTAATCCAAAGTTGGGTTTTAGCTATGTGGTCAACTGCAGTCCATGATGAAGGACATGTCATTAATGGGCTTGGTTCAATGAAGATAAATACCTTTGTGTGAAAAGAATTCAGGTGTGGTAAACTGTACTTGTTCTAGGGAACTTTTGACATGATGTACATATTACACGGGTGACACAAACCAAGTAGCGTGGGAACTTTTTCCATATACGATTAAATTTAGAATGAGAGTCAACGATGAAGTACAGAATGGATGTACGAAAGGTTTTTTGGAAATTCCAACTTTAGTATTACAAAAAGTTCGAAAATATTGTCAAACTCCTAAGACAATACCATTAGGTACTATATGAACTGGTAGAGCTAAGCTAAAAATTTGAAATTTGGTATTAGAATCAAAGTGTGTTAAATGTGTACTAAGGGGTACTAAATTTGGAACATTTTTGCTTAGGGTGAACGGATGAAGCTGGAACTTTTATAACCTCTACCATA